AATGTATTCACACATAGATGGCTCCACAAGTGCTTAATCTTTAAGGGTTCAACTATATGTCCTACCTATCTCACCTATTAACACTTTCCGTGATTTTTGGAAGATTTTACGTTGTTAATGATATCACAATAATCATAATATCATTAATAATAACAATACTACTACTACTACTAATAATAATAATATCGATAACAATTTCATTCAAATTCTCGAAAATAGCAAAGGGGAAATTACATAGAAAGTGCCTTGTTAAGAGAGTGACAATGACTGGTCCTGACTTCACGACCTACCTGCACAAAGATATTTTTTGGAGGATTACCGCACAAGGAAATTGCTTGACGTGAAGTCAGATAAGGCTGTGACTTTCTTTCCGGACGACGCATTAAGCATCCTTTATTCTCTCTAGTTGTAACGTAATGTATTTCCACACTTTATATTGGACTTTGTTAGTCTATATACACTTCTTCCATTTTAAGATCATTTCATATTTTTCTACAAAAACTCCATTTCCTCTAGTTTAACCAACTTATATATTCTTGTAAAACAAAGGCCTTCCATATACCAATGTCTATATTGATTTAAGCATCTAATTTAATTTCCTACCTGTACTTGTTCATCATATCAACCCTGTTTTCACACTGTAGTTTAGTTTCCCCTTCTTTGCATGGTACCACTGTCATCTGGAAATCAAAGAAAACGCATTAAATTCAGCAGTAACTAGTGAATATATACCTCGTTTTGTTCTTGATGTGTTTCATTGTTTTTGTTGTTGTTTATATAAAAGTTTTGCTTATATTGTTGTATTTGTTTCCCCGATACTTTTTATGTCGGTTTACATAGAGTCTTCATCTTCTTTCTGATGTTCATATAGATAAATGTCAACTACAGCACATGTTTCTTATTCTAACGGCCGGTTTGTTAAAGTTGTGCGAGGCCCGACCCAAAGAATATTCGTATACTTGACATGTAAAAGGAATAAATGCATATTTATCAGTCTAGACATGCATATCAACCGGGCAAATAGATAGATAAATGTATATCAGATATATTGACAGATATGCATTAATTTCTGTGTATATGCATGTCTGTATTTACGAATTTTCATTGGGTCGGGCCTCACACAATTTTATGTTAGACAAACATGACGGTACCAGTATTTTGGGGAAGGATAAATAAACACTGCTCTAACTACTGCACCTGTTACTACTACTGCTGCTATTATTACCACTACTAATACAACTAATAATATCATTATTATCATTGTTATCATTAGAAGTAACAATGATACAGATACTGCTAATACAACTAATCAACATCACATTATACTAATGCCAATGCCAATAGCAATAATAATGATGATAACGATAATGATAATAATAATGATAATGATAAAGGCCTATTAAAAAATCCTTGTTCTCATCAGTGCCCGCATATGAAAATCGTCGCCGGATAGTTTTTTATTATCATTTGGCCTCGATAAAAAAAAAAAAAAGAAAAAAAAAATCGCGTGCCGCATGTGAATTTTGAAAAAGTTCTGACGAGAAACCGGGAATGTTTTTAACCAGCCTAATGACAATGGTGATGATAACAGCAATAATAATGCATGAAATGAACTCACTTTAGAAGAAGCGGTCCCATTGTAGAACTCGTAGAGATGAAGAGGAACTGGACGGTGATTGTGTAGTCTGAGGAGGTAGTCCACGTAGCGAATTGCTCGGTCTATCTGCAAATGAGTTTGATGGATTGATAAAACTGTGGGGGTATTTGAAGGGGTGCACTTATTTAGGTGTTTTTCGATTGGATTATATTGAGAATATTATGATGGAGGTGTGATCTCTGTCTCTATCTTTCTGCCTCTCTCTCTCTCTCTCTCTCTCTCTCTCTCTCTCTCTCTCTCTCTCTCTCTCTCTCTCTCTCTCTCTCTCTCTCTCTCTCTCTCTCTCTCTCTCTCTCTCTCTGAGTTAGTCTTTACCTACCTACCTATGCTTTCTCTCATTTTTCGATATATTTTTTTCGAATAAAGAATCGCACAACTCATTTACATGGGATAAGTAATGTATCCGAAAAAAAATGAAAGAGGGCAGTAAAATTCCGTTTGCAAAAACGGCATTAAATATTTTTACTATTATTTACTTTATGTTACTTCTATTTTTGAACTATACAAGAAATATGTAATAAAAAACGTAAGGAATAGTGGCTAACAAATAATGCATGCAGCGAAAAAATAGGTAAGAAATACAATAATACAAAATAATGTATTTGCATTCATCACGAATGCATTTTAACAACACTATCATAGCTGCTTCAGAGTATCAGACGTCAAAACATTAATTATTAAAATTTTCCCCAGAAACTTTCAGAAAAATAAAATCCCCCAAATTAACCAGCATCTGAGTGATATAGGCTAAACCTCATGACCCTTATAGAAAAAAAAAAAATACATATTTGTTATGTGGAAAAGTAATTGTGTGTATGTGGGGGTATCAACACAGGTGAAATCGTTGACTGGTTGCGCTCAAACTATCACTGGCTCTAATAAAACATAAAGAAATCTGTAAATCTTGATCAGACCAGTATTTACATTAATGAATAGATTTCCATTACTATTTTCGCCGCCAGTAAACATAGGCGTTGTCGCAGCAGATAGTTTTAAATAATAATCTAAAGGTAGTTTTACAGCTTTTTTATACGTTTCTCTATTAAAAGTCGACAGAAAAAAATACAAGTAATAGCTACAAATAAATACGTCATAATAACTAGCTAAATAAGAAATGTTTTTTAAATGTGTTTTTGTAAAGATTTTTAAACATTCTAAAGGAAAATTTACCTTATTACGGTCCTCAGAACTGAATATCTCTAGACCAGCTGGTATGAACTCCTCGCGCCTTTTAAACTTTTTGTTGGTGTGACTCTGGAATGGAGTGAAAAGTTATTAAGTAAATGCTAATGAAAAGAGAGACAAAGAAGAAAAATTATTACATTAGTGTTCACAAACAATTGCGATAATACAAACCAACAACCACAATGAAATGATAACCAGTAATGGTAACTGATATGAAAATAATAATGCGGATAATCATGACATTAAAAACAAAAATATCAACACTAATATCGTCAAAAACAGGGGAGAGAAATAATAAATAAATAAAAACAAATATAATCAAAAGACATCAAACCATGGAACACAAAAAAAATAAACAGTATAAGGAATGGTAAAAGCTAACAATTGAAAGGAAATAACCAACAAAAAACAGCAACAAATATATGAAAGCGAAACAATAACAAGAAAAACAGGCAACAGGTATGAAGGAAAGACATAATAAAAAAAGAAGAGAAATTAATACACACAAAAAAACATAAAAACAAAATGAACAAACAAGTTAAATAAATACAAAATTAAAAAGGACACGCAGAAGCACCTTCAAGCACTTCAGCCTCAGTGGATCCACGTCGAGGTCCCGGAAGCGGAGGACGTCTTCGAGCGGCGGGATCGGGTCCTCCTTCAGCTCCTCGTAGTGCAGGACCCGAAGACGACCTGCCTCCGCCTGCGTCGTCCAGTTGACGGCCATCTCCAGCCACGCCTTGGCCTGCAGCTTCACGAAGGCGCCCCAGTCTGTGCGTAAGTAGTTCGAAGGAGAGGGAGTGGAGATAGAGACTTTTATATGTATATATATATATATATATATATATATATATATATATATATATATATATATATATAATATATATATACTAGATAGAGCTCAATAATTAAGCATTAGTAGATAATTCAAAGTATATCTAGATATATCCAATTTAATATATAAATTATGTCTGATAAGAAAAAAAAAATCGAATTGTCTCAAATTCCAAGATAAACGGAGAATTTAACGCAAAATATAAACTAGCACGAAACTCCCGCGGTTATCCCCAGCCTTGTCATCAACATCAAGCACCAACCTTTCCTCCTATAATTAGCCACGGGAGCATAGCCCGTGTGTCCGCCGAAAAGGTAATTATGGAAAGAGAGGATGGCTCGGTACGGGTTTCGAAGCAGCAGGACGGCGGTGCTTCGAAACGCCTTCACGTGAGTCGGTCCGCAGTCATGGGTTTTCTGCGCTATCGTTGTCCCGGCGGCGTGGTCGTCCAGCTCTCCGTAGTAGCCTGTCGGATGAAAAGGTTGGGGATATTTTGATGTTCCTCGGGTATTGGTATGCGTGATGTGCAAGAGGTTGTTACTGCTGGGGGATTTGGGTTATTCCTGTGGTGCTTTGGGGTTGTGGTGAAGGGGTGTTGTCCTATGTTTGGGGTTTTGGGATGGTTTAAAAATGGTGTAGGCGGTATCGGCTATTGGTATAGTAATAATAGAGAAAGCTTTGTTTTTAGGCCTGGCGTTGAAAAAAGTGTGTTGATATGTTGGTGGTATTGCGAATATGATTACACGAGAAAAATGTATTTTAATATTTTTCTCGGTATTTGCTTTTATTTCCATTATCCACCTTTTTGCGATATGAAACCTGAATGATTCAGGAAATTGGCACTAATAGTTAACTAGCACTTTATTGAACCTTCAGTAATGGTTGAAAAATATATATGGACAATGAATAGGCAATTTAACATGAATCAATGTTGATTGACCATGGAATAAACATTCAAAACATCTGCTCCTCTCTACCAAGGTAAATATAAATATTTCTATAGAGCGAGGGAAAAATGTGAGTGTGTGTGTGTGTATGTTTGTGTGTGCACGCACATGTGCGTACTTGCGAAGTGAACCTGAAAAAATATAACACCCACCGTGTAGATACAGCTGGTAATCCTTGTAAATGGAGCCAGTAAACACGCCAGAGGCAGCCTCCAGCAGGTAGCGGGTCCAGGTGTTGCCAGAACCAGGGTAAGAAGCCAGAGCGCACGGAGAAAGCGAGGAGGCGGCGGCAAAGTTCACCTTGAATTGGCTGCACTGCCCGTCTCCCGGCCAGAGGTGTTTGCTTTTTCTCGTTTTGTCGAGAGTGAGCTTCGTT